CGTGACTGACTATTTTCGAACTCCCATTATAAAGAAGAGCTTCAATATGATTTTGGAATCTACATTTTATTCAGCTTTTCAGCCGCTACAAAACGGTATATTAAACATATATTTTGCATGTAACATGGCTCAGAAAATCGCTCTATGATCGCGGTGACCAGATTTCCCGTGACTATCCGTGACCAAATGGTCACGCAGCGATTTTCTGAGCCAAGATACATAGGAAATTTATGTTTAATATACCATTTGTAGTGGCCGAAAAGCTGAATAAAATGTAGATTCCAAAACCATATTGAAGCTCTTCTTCATAATGAGAATTCGAAAATAGTCAGTCACGGAAAAATCACGGTGCCGGGCACTAATGTAGCATTATGATTTTATTTGTTATATATACATTAGGCGCTATACCAACAATACTTTATATATTGACTAATATTCGTTTTTTATGTGGAATGGGCATTGTTACAGTATCGTTTACAGTAGCAATTGAAAAAATTGCTACACTTATGCTCGATCGTGATATAAGAAATATTATCAAACTTTATTTTCGTCGATCAGTGATACAAATTAGACCAATTTCTTAATATATATTTCTTTTTTTTTTAAATAATTTCGCATATACATAATATAATCTCTTTCAAAATCATTGAAATTATCATTTTGTATGATTATCATAATTTAGATGAGATTTAATAAATTGAAACATTAATTAACTTGGTCTTAGGAAATTTCACGATTGATTTATTTTGCGCTAAAATCATCTCTTTCAATTTTTCATTTTTATCAGGTCTTTTCATGGCTTTTTTTATGATTTCAAGATAATAAAATTTTAAGAATAGTTCTCAAGTATGAAATGATGGTCTGACTTTACAATAGTTTTATACATCTATAAAAGACCCTTGAGATTCGACCATCTTTAGAAGAAAAAAATGAATTATAAAACAAAAGTCCATCGAACCTTATAATAAAACTATCCTGGTAAGAGACGATATCTTTACAACATCAACAATAAATTAAAGTATATTTATAACGAAGAGATTTCACCATTACTCTTACAAAAAAGAAAATCTTCATGGGGACCGATAAAGATGATTTGATCTTGCTTGAACAAAATTATCAACAACGATCATTTCTACACAAAAAAATTAGTTTAACAATACCTGTATGTGCTTTATTGTTTGTGGTTTTTGTTTTATCGGCATTCATTGTTTCAACAATTTCATTGTATTGGGCTGAAGATACTATATGTTATAGAAGCAATAATGAACTAATCGAACCAGACCAACCTAAACCAAGACCAGTCTATTACTCTCGACCAAAACGTAGTTTAACGTTAAGAAAAGCCAATCTTCCATGTATGAGTTTTGATTGTTGTACTACGGCTCTTGATCCTAATGCTCCATGGAATCAAAGTCGATTACCAACAAATGTTTATCCTGTTGATTATCAATTGATATTAGAATTATCTGAATTAAATGAAGGACGTGATGAATACAGTGGTACAGTTGATATTGTTCTTGAAGTTCGGTCGCGAACAAATGATATAATTCTTCACGGTGACATACTCCTTTCAGATATTACTGTATCTCAACGTTCAAGTCCGAGCAGTATTCCATTGACTATTGATTGTGTTATAGTATTTCCTGATACTCAAACAATTATTATACATTTGGTGGAACAATTAGAAATCGGTTCTACGTATGATGTTCGTATTTCATTCTTTCGAGCATTAAGTGTTCATGGAACTGGTATATTTGAAAATCAATTTAATAAAGATCCATATGGCGTACAGTAAATGAAACGAATATAATTAAAAAACGAACAAAGTATAAATTTTTTTCTTTTTTATTGTAGAACATCTCGAATAATATTAACACATTTTAAGCCAGTACATGCTCGAGAAGCCTTTCCATGTTTTGATGAACCAGATTTCAAAGCCAAATTTCAATTAACAGTATCACATGAGAATAATACTAAAATTTTGAGTAATTGGGATGAAGCAGTAAGGAAATAAAAAATATATTCTATCTAATCTGAATTTAATTTATTAGGAAAGTTTTGTGACCGAGAATTCGACTAATACTGAATTTCAAACAGTACCACCAATACCAACTGCATTAATGGCTTTTGCAATATTTTATATCGATGATTTTGATAAGAAAACAGCAGTAGCAACACATCCAATAACTAATCAAAGTATTGAGGTATGTTTAATAAATAAAATTTTTTTGTTTAGTAAAACTCTTCTTTTTTTTTACTTTGTCGAATTAATAGATTAATTTATGGGCACGAAAACCATTTTTTACGAATGATAACGGAATCTATATTACTGCTCCGCTCGATATGATTCAACGAGTTCTTACTGCTCTTTTGAATATTTTTAAAGAAGTTGAAACTCATATTGTACCAAAGAAAATAGGTTTAACGAAATATTATTGATTCTCATGATTCAGTATTTAAATTCGAATATAATTTAGATATTCTTGCCGTACCTGAATACCCATCTGATGCAGTATCACATTGGGGTTTCATTATATTTCTTGAACGTGCTCTTCTTCATAATTCACAAACAACATCGGAAATTGAACATCAAAAAATTGTTTTATTAATTGCTAAACAATTAGCTGAACAGGTTTGATTAATGTTTAATTTTTTTTTTATTTTCAAGATCATTGTTTGTTGTTTTTGTAAGTGGTATGGAAATTTCATTTCATTTCGATGGTGGACAGATTTATGGCTACAAGAAGCAATTTCTAATTATTTGAAATATCATGCAGTTAATATTGCTTATCCACAATGGAATATAGTACGTTTGAAATCGAAAACTAGAACACAATATTTTCATTGTTTATTTAGCATGATCAATTTTCTACTGGAGAACTTTTACCAACTATGTTTGATGATTCTTTGAGTACATCACATCCAATACTAAAACCAGTTAATAGTCCAGCGCAAATCAATGAATTATTTGATAGTATTGAAACAACAAAAGCAACAGCTATTTTAAGAATGGCTGATCATTATATGGATGAAACTATGGGTCCTAAGAATAACACGTTACTTACTATTGTGGTAAGTTAGTCATGGTAGTTAAATAAGATTATTGAAGGAAAAAATGTCAAATATAGTAATTTATCCAGTATGACAGTCGAAGGAGCAATGCGTCTCCGAAGATGGAGTTGCTCCTTCCCAAGTTTGTGATTATTGTGCCATGTATAGGAATGTACAGTTTCATATGACTGACCACTGCCGTGATCAACTTAGTGGTTCAGTAGACTCTGTGTCAGTAACTCACTGTTTAGTATTTCAATATTTGCACCAACATTGCACATTCCAAGCTACATGCTATACGTCTGTGCTTCCAAAAATAGGTGTTCGCCCTATTGGAATTTTAAATTGTTCTTCGGGAAGAAAAAATCTGAATGAAACACTAATCACATGAATGATAAGTCTAAGTCGAATTTTTTGATTTCAAAACGAATTGAGTTAAAAGATTTTGATTAAGCGATTATTCAAATATTAAATTACCATTCTTTTTATCATTTTACTATGGAATTGTAAAACAAATTACGAGTATTTTTTTTAAAAATGATCCGACCATCTGAACAATCTGAAGTTGATATATAAACTCTCTATTTCAATGATCGTCTGTTCTCATGGGATTCGAGGAAATCATCATTTGATTAGTCATATCTACTATCATCATAATATAGCAACATATTAACCTTTTCTTGCCTTCAACTAAATCTGAAGATCTACAAAACGTCAATTTAATGAACCCTAATCTATACAGGAAAGTGTTGAATCAGATCTATTCAAAGTGTTTTGAGGTAGACTTGATACAATATAATGTATACAATGTTGTTCAAATGCAATTACTCTAATATGTAGCCAAATCTGTTTTTTTCTTGCAGAGTCGAAGGAAAATTCTAGAATTAATTCAAAAATTTTCATTCCCCTACGACAAATACAGATCGATCCGTGGACTTTAATCCTTGCGAAACGTAGTTTTGTGTATATATTTGAACAGCAACAAAAATTCTTCACAACAAAGATTGAATTATTGTTTTAAAATCCATGGTAGTTAAGCTTTCTTATGTTATACAACTAATTTTTCCATGTCTCGTAATTTAGGAGAAATAAACTTTTAAACAATTGCACTTATAGGTGCTATGAGACAAGAAAATATTACTAATGAACAAAACTCGTTCAAAGTAATCAATAAAGTTCCTTACATAACAAACAGGAATTCAACTGTTTGAAAACGAATAATCATTCCTGATGTATATAAAACTTTCAAAACTAACATAGAAAATTTTCTTTGAAAAAAAAAAAGTAAAATAGATGAAGTTAACATCAATCAAGTATATCTTTGATGTTAATTGAATGTTGAGAATAATTAATGAAGAAACTCTCAGTAAATAATTCTATCTGAAAATTATATAACTGCGTATGTATTAACATCGGATATCAATGTCCAAATCTACTTACGAAGAAAAAAATTAAGGTGATAACTTGCGTTTGAGACTAGATCCCATTTATCACGTAGAACCTGTTGAGACTAGAAGAAACCAAGAAGGATTCTTTTCCATACACTGCTCTTTTAGAGTTATGCTCACTACACTGGATTCTTGACCATTTTCATGATATTTATAAAAAAAACAGGTCGACAAATTTTAACCTAAGACATTGTCCATAGACAGCTCTTGAAACCACTAGAATCTTCTAAAATTCTCAGGCTAAAAGAATGGTTTCTTTTCAAAATCTCAAACTCACAAAAAAAACTAGATTGTTCGTCCTTTCGGTGGAATATAATGATTTTTGTGTATTCGATATATCGAGAAGAGACCACTCTTTTTGGCTGAGGTTTATAGGAGATTCTAATAACTTCAAGAGTTGTCTATGGGCAAAGTTTCAGGTCAAAATTCGTTTGTCCAGTTTTTTTTAATAAATATCGTGCCAAAGGTAAAAAACCACTGTAACGGTCATATGTCCAGAACAGCAGCGTATGTTGAAAAGTCCCTCTACTTTCAACAGGCTCTACATGATAACTGGGATTTTTTCGGAAACGTGAAATATCATCTCGGATGGTCTCTTCGTTAGCAAGTATGATGAAAAGCCACAAAACTTCTTTTCCAGCATAAAGAGCCGACTAATTAACACATCATCTGTCAACGGAATTTTTCTACTGCTACGTATTGCAGTTCGAAAAGCTCGAAGTTTTGACTAGCTGATATTCGTTTACTTGTTTAGTACCAATTAATAGGACTCCAACTATCTTCACCAATCGTCATTGAAAAAACATGTGACTGATTATTTTGACGGAATATGAGAACATTTTGTTCGTGCTAGTTATTCTTTCTTCTTAATATCTGATTAGTAATGTTTCACCTAGCGTGAACATCGACGGAGCGGCGTTTCTTTCAACATCAGATTGGCCCTCCCAGAATTTGTAATCGCCTCTCTGTGAGAGAAAACAATGATGAAACGCTGTGAATTACTCTTCAGCATAATTATCCTTTAATGATTAAAACTAGTGCTGTGCTTTTCATTTTTTTACTTGATGAAACAAATTGTTGGATATTTTGATGAAGATCCTATTTTTAAATGAGGTGATTAGTGTATACTTTTATATTGAGAATTCTTCGAAGAATATCATAACCAGTTGAAAATAACTTATTATACATTTATCTGATTTAGTCTTTTCTTAAAAATAATGAATTTGGATACCTTATACCAGATGACATTCTTAGTACATATCATATTGGTCCATGGAACGGTCTAAATTTTTTCGATCGTTGGTTATTACAATCAAATTTTCCAAAAGTATTCGCTCAATTTATTCAAAATACTACTAATCAAAGATATACTTTTCAACTTGTACAAAGTCGACATTTAAGTGCACATTTATATGAATATGATCTTTATCCACCTGAAACAAATCCATTTGGTTATATTTGGTATATTCCAATAACATGTCGATTTAGTAATGATTCAACAAGATTTCAATCAACTCGAACATTTCTACTTGAAAGTGAAAGAATGAATATAGACTTTGGTTTTGATTATTTTACATATTTTTATTGTAATGCTGATTTTGCTGGATACTATATTATGGATTATACACTTGAAAATTCAGCAGAATTAGGTCAAGCTTTAGATAACAACAATGCTGAATTAACTGATCTTGATCGAGCTAATTTATTAAATAATGCATTTTTAAATGCGCAAACAAGTGAAGCAAGTTATTTGGCTGTTAGATCACTTACACAATTTTTATATCGTCCTGTCGCCTATACAGGTTTACTTTCATGGCAAACATTATCATTTCATGTAAATCGTATGTTAGATGTACTTGAATATGAATCATTATTTCTTGTAGTTCAAGTAAAACAAAAAAAACATATTTCATGAAAAACAATCGATTTAATTATGTTTTTTTTCTTTTGTTTTCAAATAGAAATATTTTCAAGTTGTTGTTCGAAATTATTATACAACATATGAAGCAAATTTATGGAATGTTAATGGAACATTTTCTGACCAGTAAACAAAATTTCTTTTTTCTTTTATTTATTTAGAAAAAAATTTTATTTAAGAATTCTCAAAAATACAATTATTCAACTTGCATGTCGACTACGTTTAAATGAATGTATTGATAAAGTAACTTTATTATGGGAAGAAGCATTTCCGGCTTTAGTAAATCAAGAAGCTAATCATTCGTCAGTATATTTATTTTTGTTTTATCTGTTAAAGAAAGTACTATTTGTATTTTGTATTAGAGTTGCTGCTCATGCTCGAGACGTAGTCTATCAAACTCATTTTCAACATACATATAATGATACTGAATGGACAGTAGTTGCAAGCGATTTTCATTATTTTACTGATACTCAAGAACGTTATCGTTTACTCAAAGCGTTAACACAATCACGTCAACCATGGCATTTATATCAGTAAGAAAAATAAACTTGATATTTTTAATTCTAGCTTATTTTTTTTTAATAATTTATTTATTAGATTTTTATATCGAGATGCAGAAATAAATCAAGATCGTGATGTTGATTTATTATCAGTATTAACATTACTAGCAAAAAATTCTATAGGTTAGCAAATGTAAAATATCTAAGGCTTTCTTTCTGAATTTATTATTTAATAGGTCGTGAATTAGTCTGGTATTATTATCGAGAAAATTGGTCTAAACTTCAATCTGAGTATGTCTTGAGCTTTTATTTGTAATACTTGATTTCTGGTTTTGTTTTTATTATAGTTATGGACGATCAAATCAGCGATTAGGACAATTACTGATTGATATAACAGCAACATTTGAAGATAAATTTCATGAGATTGAAGTAAGATCTACAAATGATTATTAGTTATCTATATTTTATTATTATATTTAGTTAACTGAATTTCTTGCATCGACACCAGGTGTTGATTCAAATGTTGACGCACGTTTTTGGGCACTTGAACGTGCAAATATGAATTATTGGTGGATATTTGATAATTCAAAGGACATGGCTGAGTCATTCAATTTTGATTTGAAGCATATTTGACATCATTTTTTTAAAAATTAATCTAATATTCTCTTTTTCTATAATTCTATTCTTATAATACGATTAAACAGCTTAAGAAATATCCATTGATCACTTGATCAATACATTTGAATTTGATTGTCTATTCCTATGAAATGAGAACTCAACGGAATTCAAATTAATAATTGAAAATATTCGTATATTCTATTGTTTGTTTTATTTAAAAAAAAGTTCTTGTACAAAACATTATCTTAAAACGAGCAAAACGACAATTGGTAGTAAATTCGATAGAAGCGTGGTTCCTATTTCACGTGCCACAAATCTCTATGTGTATACATGTGATTCAATCACATACAGCATCATGAGAGGATGAAGATGCCATGTGAAACATGAGAATTCACGCCATGAAATGATTCGTAGATGACCTTGCTAATAAGCAGTAATTGAATTTTGACATTCATATTTTGAATTTATCGAAATGATACGAAAAGACAAAAACTATTCACTGTTGAATAGTGAAAATCGCCGCAGATAGAAACTTCAAGATAAGAAGAAAATATAGAAGATTATGGGAAATTTTTAACGTAATTACTACTTACTGTCGTGTAAGGCTTCATTCTCAATAAGAAGAATTCCTCAAATATTCGTATGTATATTCGTGTCCAATGATTTTTATTCTCAAAAAGATTGTTTGTTATTGTCTGAACCTTTATGAGTTAGTTCTTGATAATGCTAAGAAAATTTTTGTGCCGATTTTATTTTTCGGCATCGCGACCAATTGTCGTAGATTCCTTAAAATGGTTACACTATTTTTATTTCTTACCACAAAGTTTTCTTTTAAATTTAACATGTATATACAAATTTTTAATGGTAGAAAAGTACAAAAAATTTCAATAAATTATTTATATAAAATTTTATTCATAAGTCTACATAGTTAGTGAGAGTTCCTTCATGTAAAATTAAGCAAGTTTATTTAATTACCCATCAATTAGAGCTAGAATCCTGCGGAATCAATTTTTTTTTAACTCTGACATTGACAATTTTTATTTCTTTAGCGTTTCGTTCATGATTTAACATATGAAAAATAAAGTTATTATTATTTAAGAATATACATACTTGTTTCTTTTTTCTACTTATGTAATTCCGACATAGAATTCTAAAAAAATTCTTTACGATCACTCCGACTGTATCGGAGTCAGGTTTCAAAGTTTGATAACGGGTTTTATCTAATGTATAGAAAACAAATTTCATACATAGATTATCATCATAGATTTTAAAATGAACAAAATCGTTCTAAACTTTCAATATACTTGTACACGTATATATTGTAACAAGAAGAAAAAAAAAGAAATAACCATCTAATAGAAAAGCAAAGTGCAACAGTATTATATATTATAATCACATTTTATCGGCTTCAAGATGAATAGAAGCCATAAAAAATTCAACAAAGTAATGAAAAAGAAGAATTGAATTATTAAATAGGCCAGATGTCATCAAAAAAGAATTGTTATATTATTCAAATTCATCTGTCGTTCATCATCATCATCATCCTTACATATAAGAATTATGTTACCAAATTCGAATAATGATATTTTATATCATACTAATATGCCAACACGTTTCACTCATCCTATTAGCTTTGTCGATTTTAATCAAGTAGGGCAATTCAAACTTAGAACTAGAGTTTATAGAAAAAAAAAATTAGTTAGAGAAATAGCAAATATTGCAATTTTATTTTCTTTATTTTTTTTATATCGCTGTTGTTTCTTCTTTCTATTCTCGAAATATTTGAAAAAGTGTTTGCTTAAGTTGTTTTTACTTCCTCTCTTCCTGTTAAACTTCTAATGATCAACTAGAAAAATCAAAGTTCATATAAATATACAAAAAAAAAAAAAAGAAAATTTGAACAACTAACATTATTAGTTTACTCAGTTTCTAAGATACAAAAAAAACATAGCTGAAACTTAGCGATCATATTGTTTTCACAGGATGATGAAAGTTATGTTGACGGTTACAAGAAAAATGAATATCCATTAGCAAGTACCATTTTTGTTCAACGACATAATCGACAACAAACAACTCATACACCTAGACGTTCAAATTCATCATTAGGTGTTACTGCTTTTCCACTATTAAGAGAATCAACAACAATATTTGATAGTGAAAGTATGTCAAAAAAAAACAAAAACGGGATTGATTTCTTTTACAATACAATTGTAAATGAATGTTTTTAGGAAAACGAACAAAACCTTTAGTCGTACCAATTGAAGAAGATGATGATGATCTAATACAATCTACTACTGAGTCAACTCCACCAACACAAATATCAAAATCAACTGTTACAAGTGATACTACTCAAAAAACAAGTTCTATGGAAATGTCACTTCGTGACAATAATAATAATAATAATAACAATTCTGATACTATTCTAAATGGTAATGATAATTATGAAAATAATAAGAATCATGTTCAACGTAATCGAAGCGTATCACCACAAAAACATTTCCCAAATAGTAGCATAAAACGAAGTAGTTCAGATGTACATCTATTAACATTAGATATCAATAATGAAAATGGCTCACCACGTATAATAAAAAGTATAACAACAACAAAAATAAATGAAACAAAACCAGTGCCAAAAATTAAATATACAAATAAAACTCCATCTTCAACATTACTGATTACAAAAAACGGAAGATCACCATCACTTAAACATAGCTCATCGTTAAATACACGTAAGCATCAAGTATATATATTTCTCTTGTGTTTAAAAAAAAAAGAATTTTAATTGAAAACATAATAGAGCACTAGTACAAATACAAAATTTTTCACTTTAAAGTGTTGATAACTTAATCTAATTCAGTCAAGTGAGTTTCTGTAGATTAAAAAAATAATAAAATTTTAAACAATTTTGATAAAATTCTAATTTTATATTGTTTTTTCTGCTACACTCATTTTCAAGACAACGAGAATTTTAATAAAAATTTTTATGCATAATAATAAATTTAATTCGAAAAAGAAATCGATCAGGTTTTTGTATTGACAAAAAACTTACAGAGTTACTAGAACATCTTAGTATATACATGAAAGAATTGAATTGAATATATCATCAAATAAATATATTCATTTTGAAATTTCATTAATTGATTTGATTTTTCTAATCATAGCTCGAACACTTGCTTCTATACCATCAATACATGCTCATGCAGTTCAAGGTGTTTTAGTTCGATTTTTTCGTAATGGTGATGAACATCATCATGGTGTTAAATTGGCTATTAATGAATTTGAACTTAAATCTTGGGAAGCATTTCTTAATTATCTTGATCGTCAACCAAGACTTCGTTTACCAACTGGCGCTATAAAACATGTTTATTCGTTAACCGGCCAAGAAATTCGTTCTATTAATCAGTTTCATAATCGACAATCATATGTTGTTGCATCTGGAGCATTCATGCGAACAAATTATCGTTTCATGTATGCTTTATTTACGGATGAAACAGATGTAAATTTAAATACAAATACGCCACAAGATACAGTTCCTTATTGGAATACACGATTATCTGTTCATCCACGTTGGCATTCACCACCGGCTAATAATGAACAAATTTTTTTATTACCTTATTCACAATTAAATATGTATGAAAGTATGATTTTTAATCGTAATGTAACACAAACATTCGAAGAATGGTTACAAGATCATGTAACAGATTTACTTTCTCATTATACGAATCGTGAAAATGTAAGACATTTATTTGGTATAACAAAAGATAGTTTTATAGAAATTAAAAGTTTTTCAAAATTATTCAATATAATTAAAATAACCGATACATTTATTGGATGTACACAAGATGAATATGTAGATGCAAAACATTATTTAGGAAAAATGACACCACATGAATTATTTACGAATCATCAATGGCCACGACGATCAATTAATCGAACTAATCAAAAACGTTCTCCAAAACACAGTATTTATTTAAAACCAAGAAAAACTTCCTTATTAAACTTTGATTGATATTTCTTTTGTTTGTTTCTAGTTATTGAAAATCCAAAAGTCTCATTAAGTTGGATGTAAGTTAAAAATATAAAATAAAAATATCTCATAGTTTGATTTCTTTTTAGTCATGGTTATCATGGCGAAAATGAATTAACAAAAAAACTTTATTCACTTCCAGAAAATGAAATACTTTATGTTATTGGTTCAATTTGTATTTTATATGAATCAAAATTAAAACAACAACGTTTTTATACAAAACATAATAATTCAATAACTTGGTAAGAGTTATTTCAAATAATAATTCATATATGGTTTTTGCTTTTGTTTTTATAAATATAATAGTGTTAATATTCATCAATATCAATCATTAGTTGCATCAAGTGAAATACCTTCATCAAAAAGTAATCAACGAGCTATAATACATGTTTGGGATCATGTAAAACTTCGAACAATAACTGAAATACGTAAAGATCAATTTGGTTCTAATATAAGTTTATTATCATTTTCACCAAAAACAGATGATGATTTAATTCTTATTATTTCACGTGATAAACCTAAAATTGTTTTATTTATTGATTGGAAACGAAATGAATTAATTTATAGTATTACAGTGAGTGTCATTCAATAAGAATCAAATATTTTCTTGATATATATATATATATATATATGTATATATTCGTTTTGACCTTCTCGGAAAGTAATAAATGCAATAATTTTAATTGTTTCATTCTATTTGATATCACTTGTACACGTTTTCTTTCAACATTAAAGATATTATTAAGTCATGAGATAAAATCGAGTTTCTCTTAATAAATAAAATGAATTTTGTCGAAATAGAAATTATATCGAAAAATCAAAGTCAGGATTAGTTTTACACAGGTTTTATGTTTTCTGATCATATGAGTTCAGAATATAGATGAATTATGAGTTAATTCGAAATTTATCGGGATGAAACTTTCATTTGGATTTAGTGCATGTACTAGACATGAGCAAGATCAGTCGTTTTTAATCCCGGCGAAACCCAGACCGGGATCATCTTGTGCATATCTAGTATATGCCTTTTCGTTGCATACTTCGTCGAACGATATAGCGTGCAGGTATCATTCAGGAGTATCGTGACGACAGATACAAATATCTGAAGTAGATTATTTTTATAAATCATGTACATTCCGCAGTACAAAATATCGTAGTTTAATACATTTTAAACATATCTATTTTTAACTCTTTGGTTATGGAGTTTTTGCAAAGATGATACAAAGTGTAGGCTTGCTCATAAAAGTCTGAAATCAGGTATTATAAGTTAAAGAAGCATGGCGAACTGCATTAGATTTCAATCAACATCATGTAATTCAGTACTTGCAGAATCAAATAGAGTTGCTCAAAATCTTATGGAATCCTTTGCGTGACTTCATAGATAATCCTATGATTTTATATGATAATATAGATCTGAAAAAAATTGTATGTTTTATCTTTTGTTAGATTCTAGCTTCAACACTAATCGAAATTTACCGGAGCGACAAAGGTTCTAGCATTCCACTCAATGTTACGAATTTCTGTTTGGTTTCATAGGGCTTTGAAAGATTTTAGGATTAGAAAGTTTATGAAGTCTCATAAACTTTCTAATCCATAATTCCTTCTTTTCAACTTGATGTGAGAAAGTTGTAAAAGTTACAATGGGCATAAAAGCTCATCCCGTCTATATACGTGTCCCGTAACTCAAGAGTTAAATAAATTTATTTTCAAAATATTTCTAATCATTGGCATAAAATTGAATTCTTTGTTTGTTTGTTCTAGTGTAAATCTGATAACATTCTTTCAGTATTATTTGTATTCAATACAACTGAATGGATAGCATGTATTAGTCAACAAAATTTACTTTTTTATCATATTAATTGGGGTTTAAGACCATTACATGTGTTAGAACGACGAGAATCAGAAGTTCAAGTGAGAAATATTTCAATATATTAGAATACGAATTAATCAATTCGAAATTTTAGAATATTTATACCGGAGCAGCAGCCTGTGATACTATTGGTGAACGATTATTAGTTGGTGATAAAGTTGGTAGTATTCATGTTTGGCGTTTAATTAATAATGAACCAAAATTAGCTACTGTTCAAGAATGTATTTTAGAGGTATTTGATTTATATTTGTTTGTATTTAATTATATTGTTTTATTTAAATATTAGAATGATGTTGAAACAATTGTATCAATAAGTCGAGACGTGTTTCTTTTAGCTAATGGACAAAATCAAATCAAAATTTGGAATATGAATTCAAATACAATTGAACACATACGAGTAAAAAAAAAATAATTTTTCAATAAATACCATAGTGGATAAAAGTTTCCCGCTCCGTCATATTTCGACTGCACAAGATGAGATAGGTCGAAAAATTTATGTGTACAAGCTCCACTGAGAATGTCGATTTATACTTCTGTAAACGAAGAACTTTGCGAATTGGCGCTTTCTTCATTATTTAGTGGTTTGTTCCGGTTATCTACTGTATTAGTTTGTTAGAGAAAAAAAGTCCCGATAAATACAGGAATATTTGTTTTTCATTATTATCGAAATCAATTTTCACACGAGAAGAAGTGAAGAATTGCCCCCATTTCTACGACATAGTCCGTTCGACCGAACTGAAATTTCTTTTTACAGATACTGGACACTGTTCGAGCTGCCTAATTTTTTTGTTTTGAAAAATATTATACTGTTGATTTGATAAAAAAAAGCTCTATCAGAAAATAAACTTATATTTTTGAAGATACGCTCAATATTTTGACCTTTACATTCGAGTGGAACAAGATAAAAAGAAACCAAAAAAAAAAAAAACTAACCACTTCAAACAGTGTCTAGTATCTGTAAAAAGACTCGAGACCTATCGAATATATTCCGACTGAGAAAGTAAGGCAATTATTAGCCTTTGCAACTCAGATATTTCCTGCAAGGAAGTATTTAGGACTTTGAAGACTACGATAACTTTTGTTCTACTCGTCGATGTCTATTTGCCCTGAAAGTTTCAAATATTTCTTCTGAGCCATTCTTCAAAAACCCCTAAAAAATTCGCCAGATCTACAGTAGCAAAGATATGGAGCATGACAGACTTTTGTCTATTATTTATTCTCTTTTGTTTTTTTTTATTATGATAGCTAAATGAAACAATTGGTTCCATTCAATCAATTTGTTGTATACGACAAGGTTCAGTTTCTGTTGCATTAGCTATTGGAACAAAATTAAATTATATTATATCGAACGAAATTGGAAAAGAACAATTTGATATTATTATGCGAGTATGTTTTATAATTATCTTAATATAATAATAATTCTTATATTTAGGGACATACAAGTCCATCAATTTGTATATGTTGTCAGAAATATCGTCGTTATTATTTTTCTATAAGTTCTGATCGATATTTATTTAAATGGAATCATAGAACAAAAGTTGTTGAATGGTCAGCAAAATCTACAGTAAATAATAACTATCTATTAGAATATAAATTTCTTAGTATGTTTTTTAGCAACCTATATCTTGTGCTGATTTACATCCTGAACGAAATATAATTGTTCTTGGAACTGAAACAAGTAAATTACTTATTTATGATACTTTAACATCATATTATATAACAACAATAACATTAAAAGTTAATACAAGTGTTAAATCAGTTCGATTTTCTCCTGGTTTGTTAGATTAGAATTATAATAATTGTGCATAAATGTTTAAGAAAATTTTAGATGGTTCAAATTTAGCTGTTGGATTACAAAATGGAAATGTTTTTATATTTAATGTCTTAGGTAATGGAGATTTTCCTCTTCATACTAATGGAATACTTCATGTAATATTCATAAACTATTTTCATTTTGTTTGAAAATATTTAATTTCTTTCTTATTCAGAATGATAGATCACCTGTAAGTGATCTTATATGGTCAATAGATTCAAAATATCTTCTTGTTATTTATGCTGATAATAATTATAATATTTGTAAGTGTTTATTAATTTAATATAAAAAAAAAAATTTTTTTTTTATAAAATGATTTTAGGGTCAATACCAACATTTGATGTTATGGTAGGAATTAATATTCAAAATATTAAATGGCATGAACCTTTACATCCAATTGTGTGCAACGGATTAGGTATATTTCATAGGAAAATAGGAATACTGTGTTGTCTTAAATATTTATTCATATGAAAATAGAATTTTATAGATTGACTTTATCACAGGTGATCGGAAAGTTTTTCGACTAGATGCTTGTTCACTTTTGAAGTAATTCCGATGAGTCAAAATCTATGAATTAGAACGCTCTTTTAAAATATGAGTTTACAAATTGTGTTTGAGACTACTGACATCATCTTTGAAAAGCTTAGAAAATAAGTTTCAACGGAGTTTGTAATGCCAATATTTCTGCTGAATTAGGGTCTACCTGAAAGTATTTCAGACGAGCCAAAAACTATAGGTCTGCACCAGAATTGAATATCGTCTTAGAAATATTTTGTCTATTTTTGTTCAAGAGTAGTGAAAAGTTTTCTGACAAATCTGAAAATGGTAAGCCAACAGGTTTTCATTTATTTTATAAGTTCTTCTTTGAGCATGCTAAAAATTGTCGGAATCAGTCGTTTTGTAGACCGAACACGTCTCTACACAATGTAATATTAAACTAACGAGGGAGGTATCCGAAGTAATTCAGAGCTTTTGAGCTGATATTTTGCCCATAAGCAGGACCTGATAAGAATAGAAAAAGCCTAAAAGGATATGGGCCCATAGGCCTTTCTTTCCGAGTTACGAGCATTTTACTGGATTTTCTACCTATGACAAGGGATTCATCGAAAAATCAAATTACATCGTTTCGATCTGAAATTTTGCCCATATGTAGCCCTTATGATCCTTGTCGCAGTCTAAAAGTCTCAGGACAAACGAACGTTTCTTTCACGAAATAATAAATAATCAAGAAAAGTCGATTTCCTGACTTGTCTGTAGCATAAAAGGCTTTTCTTGAGTATTTATTATTTCGTGAAAGAAACATTTGTTTGGGCTGGAACTTTTAGGCTACGATAAGAATTATAAGGACTACATATGAGCAAAATTTCAGGTCGAAACTATGTAATTTGATTTTTCGATGAATCCCTTGTCATAAATAGAAAATCCAGTAAAATGCTCGTAACTCGGGAAGAAAGGCCTATGGGCCCATATCCTTTTAGGCTTTTTCTATTCTTATCAGATCCTGCTTATGGGCAAAATATCAGCTCAAAACCTCTGAATCACTTCGGGTACCTCCCTCGTAAGCTATAACTTCGACCCTATTGAGGAACTTTATTGAAAGACAAAAAAAGCTTTGAAATAGTACATTTTGTAGGGTAGCTTGTGATCTACACGCTGATAAATATTATCAACATCCAAAATATAGTTTCGAATCGAAATAACGAAAATACAAAAAATTTCCATCTAAACTAGTTTTTTGAACTTCTCAAAGATTATTTCACTACTCTCAAATAAATATTCTACGCTCATATTCAAAAAGAGCATGCTAATTCATAGCTTTTGGTATTTTTGTCAGCGACTTAAAAGTTAACAAATCTGTTGTCTAAAAACTTTCCAATCATCGATTAATTTAAGATCTGTTCAACTATGGACACTTTATCTTTAACTTTTTGTTTTGAAAACAATGACGTAATTTCTTTTTATATTTCTATAATTATGAATATGTGCATGACAAAAGAAACGATATACTTCCATTTATAATTGCCGTACGGAAATTATAATTAATAAAAAATGAAGTAAATATTTCTCATTATTGTTGATTGATTATGTTCGCTGTTTTATCATATTAAACAAATTATATTTTGAGTCATGTCACATATCTAGAAGAGAATCGGAGATACTGAAAATATGATTGAGTACATTTTTAATGACACATGCAATAGAAAATGTGACTATACATGATTTTCTTTTGTCCAGAATTACAAAACTATTTCTTATAGATAAATCTACTGTTGATTTACATACATCAGTAATTACTCTTACTCCAAATCTGATCCTATCTTGTGGTAAAGATGGTAAACTTCGTTTATTTCGAAATCATTATGAAGTAAGTCAAACAAAAAACAAAACTATTTCAATAATATTTTTGTTTTTTTCTTTATTTATCAATTTATAGCATAATTCGCAAATATTTAAATTTGGTCTTGGTCCAATTCAAAGTATTATACCATCAACGATGGATAATACATATCTTTTATCATTGCATGATTATCCTGTAATCGTAGAAATTCAAATCAACATTAACTCTCGTTTATAATAGTCAATGCTTTTGTTTTTTTCTTTTTTCTTTTGGTGCGAATGTCAGTTGTTGTGAAAATAATTCCATATTCATTACTGTTGGATGGCATACACACATAAATATTTTTTTGTTTGTCTTTGAATGCAGCAAAAGAGAATGAGAAGAAAAAAAGGAGGAAAGAGTCATGACAACTCGAATAGGGATGCTTGTTTATGAGTTTACGCAGTTAAGTAGAATTTTTTTTTTTGCATTGTTTTTTTTTTTTGCAGATGAACAAGCGTTCTTTAAACGATACTCTATTTGGTATTCAAGGCGTTAATCCAGGGTTTTCTGCTCGAGAAGACTCAAATGCTATGCCATCTCAGCAAACAACTGGCAAAGTTGTATTAAAACGGTTTGTTTATTATTATTGAAATAAGAAAAAAAATTGAACATTTTTTATTTTTAATAGACAACAACTTTTAGCATGTCCTTATTTAAAAGTTGATGAACAAATTAAATTACTTAATTTACAAAAAAATTGTATTGCTAAAATAGCTAATCTTGATCATTTAACAAGTCTTGTTGTACTTGATTTATGTGAAAATGAAATTGATTGTATTCAAGGTTTGGATAATTTATGTTCATTAAGAATTCTTCGACTAGCAAACAATAAGTAAGATTATTTAGAAAATATTAATTGTTATTATTTTTTTTTTCTAATGAAGAATAAAGCAAATAAAAAATCTGGATGCACTTGAACAACTTGATGTACTTGACTTAAATGGAAATCAAGTAAATTTTTCATTTAAAAACTATTTATTTTGATTCTTTTTTATGAACATAGATTTCCCGAATTGAAAATTTTAAAAATTTAACACGTTTACGCGTTCTTAATTTATCACACAATCGAATTGAAAAATGTGAAAATTTGCGTACCTTAAAAAATCTTGTTGAACTTAACCTTCAAGGAAATCTTATCACTACTGTGGTAAGTTTTTCTTTTAAAATTTTTTCGAAATCAATTTATTCTCTTTTAAAATTAGTGTGACCTCGAAACATTACCAATTCAAAGACTATTTCTAAGTTTCAATAAAATTCGAAGATTTGATGATATTCGTTGTATTTCAAAACTTACTGTACTTGAATGTTTATCACTTGAGGGTAAATAATTTAATTCTTATTAGACATGCAACAAACCTGCTACTCCACAAGTTCAGTCTACATCAAGCATTTAGTTAGTTGTTCAAGCAGTTCTTGAAGCACTCTTAGATTCGGTTAAGTTTGAGTTTGGATATTTCTGAACATCATTAACTATTTTTTAGAAAGTTTGCTGTCCTTTGGTTTTCGGGTTATTTACTTAATTGTCTGTAGGCTTATCATAGCCAATTCTGAAAGACATTTTTTGGTTTACTTCTACATCCTAGTTTTATGAGCTGAAAATGACTGTATTCCAAACTGAACTCGAATGTTTAGGTTCAACACATGCCTAATTCTTATAAATAAATTGATCCATTCGTTGTTTATTTAGGTAATCCATTAGCATTTACAGCTGCATATGAACAAATTATTTTATCTCAATCACAATCTGCTACTGTTAAACCAGATGCTCGTCAACCAATGAACATGGTAAATAAATAGATTTATTATTTTTTTTTGAATTTAAAAGAAATACAAAACGGTTTTTTATGATTTTTAGGATCAACGAATCAGTCGTGTAATACGAATGCAGCATAATAATAATAATACTAATGCTAATAATAACAATAGTTATAATAACAATAACATTAATAATATCAACAATAATAATAATAATAATAATACTGAAACAACCTATATAAATCGTGATCGACGTCTTCTTGACACTCTTTCAAGTCAACAAGATTCTTTAAGTGAACGAAGTGATACTGATATTGAATCTGTCAAGTAATATAGAAAAATTTATTTTTATTCTCTTGATAAAAAAAAAAGTCTTCTACAGAACAAATCCACCACCAGTTTTCAATCGTACATCATCAATTACACAACAAAAATCTGTAATTAAACCAATACACGAAACAATAAATCCATTACTTGTTGAAACAAAATTAAATCCAGTAAGTTGAAAAAAAAACGAAAAAAGAATTTTCAAATGAGAATATTTTTAATAAAAAGATTATTGCTGAACGATCAATATTAGCGAAAACTTTCGTACAATCAGCAATTGATGATGCTTTTCGAAAAGAATCAATAACTGTTCAATTAGCACGCTGTTGGCCTTTATTATTGACTCAATTAATAAATGATTCAAATTAATTTGAAAAACAATTTATTATTTTTCTTTTTCATTAATGAGATTTTGTCAGATGTTTTCTTTTCTTCTTTCATTTGAATTATTAATTAGTTTATATAATAAAATAAAATGTGAGCTGCACAAACAAAAAAAAAAAAAGAAAGTTAACTCCGATTGATATTGACTGATAACTGGAATGTGTTTTAATGGGTTATATGAAAACTGTGAAAGACAATACAGGTCAATTAATTATAAAGAAATATCACCGAAGAATAAATATGTTGTTCTTTTCTTAAACATCATTATGTGTGTTAAAATCCACTGATGATTTTGATCGTACATATTCTCCAAAATTATTAAACGAATGAGAGCAGATAGGTAAGTTTCGAGTTGTATCGCCATAAGTTTGTCCAATATGATATTTGCTTTCTAAAAAACAACAAACAAGATAAGCATAGAGTAATAAAGATTAAAATTTTCGTACGAGGAAGATATCCTGTATATTTTGGAACCATTCCGGATTGTGCATAAAGTCGATGACTTGAAAAACTTGTTACCGAACGTTGTACAACCTTTGGTGAAGTTGGTGGTAAACTGAAACAAAATAAAAGACAAAGAAAAATAAATCATGATTGATATGTTTCTAATAATCTAATTCGAAATTTCAGACAACATAAACTAAATAGCCTATATATAATCATAAGAAAATTATAAATGTTTTTTTTTTCGAGCGGACAAATATTTAACATGAAAAACCTGATAATAATTAGATGAATAAATTGATTGACTGAAAGAAATCAAATTTTTTATTGTATCTATTCATGTTTTCCTAGTGTAATATTTACTTCAATTCCGAAGGTAAATCGATTGATGTTGGATAATTGGTTGTTAAACTTGTTGCTTCTAGAACAAAACGATTTAAACCTTTTTTTGTTGCTTCATGATAACGTAAACCAAGACCAATATCTGTTGGACGAATACGAGGAATATATCCTCTATAACCAGGAATTGGTGGTTCAACAAATACACGACGATCACCTATATTGTTCAAATAGAAATAGTTTTCTTTTCTTTTTTGTTTTTGACACTTTTTTTTTCTTTTACTTGTTTGTGAACTCTCGGTTGGATTGTAAGCTCGATGAAAATCAAGAAAATGTTTTACTACTGTTTCACTATTTAAACTCTTTGTTTTTGGATAACTAGCAATAGTATTTCTTAATTCTTTAGATTTATTTTTAGCTTCTTCATATGTAGCTTTTGTTCCTGATAAACATACATCTGTGTCGACACGATATCGATTACCAAGTTGAAATTTTCGTTGTGGTATGTAACCTTATATAAAATAAATCTTGATTATGAGACAAACAAAAAAATAGAACTTATATGATGTATTATTCACCTGTATACCCTGGAAGCATTCCATCAGGAAACTCACGCGTTTCATACGGATCAGATTGATCAATTTTTACAATTGGTATATCCGGTTTTGAATGTATTAAGTCAGGAAATTCTTTACCTAAACGATGAGTCTCATTACCATATGTATGACCATGACGATAGCGTAATTGATGTATATGTCCAGTATATCTGTTAAATATTGAAATAAGATTACACAATATCTGTTGTAATCATAAGACACGAACTATTCATCAAGCAAGTCATAGTTTTTTTTTCAAAATGTCTACTTTCACTAAAGTAACCTGAGACATTGATAGCGAATATAAAAAAACAACAGCTAGCAGTAAATCAATATAACTCTCAAAAAAAGAAAATCATTTGTATGATTTCATACTATAACTATGGTGATTAAAAACCGTCAAAATACAAATCAATTATCAGACCACAAACATCCTACAATGTCAATTATTGTATAGACGTGTTAGAAAAAAAAATTCTGTCTGTTGATTTTATTTGTTTTTCTTTTAGAAAGAAAAACTCTACTTTTTTCTTCAAGGTATTTCTATAATATTTTGTTAACGAAATGCTAAAGGCTTAGAACAAACGTTTACTTTAACACAAAAAAAAAAAAGAAAGACGTATATTTTGGAAAGAATGTATATACCTCAAGTGTTTATACGGACGTCTCGTATTTTTATTACCTTGTTAACAATGACTTGACAACAAAGTATTTATTTCGCAAAATAAACCTATTAAAACTTCTATGGGGATACTATGTTCTATGTGTTAATTCTTGTTCTATGTGTTAATTCTTGTTCTATATTTATTGGAGATTATTACTTTGGCACTTGTGAGCCATCTTTAAGATTACTAAACTGTCGCCGAGCTTCGATAGACGGTCCACCACCAAATTCGATTGTTGTCATTCCTCTTGTTTGAGAAGAAAAGAAAAAATAATATATATACAAAACATACTTACTTCACAGCTTCTCATTGTCTCTCATTTACATTTGAGTCCATTAAAAAATCTTAGCAACGACCTCTACATTCATCGTATCAACAGAACATATTTATGCATTTCATATGATTTTTTCAATAAAATAGAAAAATAAAATTATTAAGAATAAAATTAGTTCTAGACTTTTTTTTTAAATTCCTAGATACCATTAGATGTATGAAAAGTTCTAATTGGTTCAATCAAACTTGTTCTTTGTTTATTCGATTCATTCATTTTCTATTCACTTTGTCTACATAATTCGTCATTTTCATTCCAACAAATTTCTATAACCACTGTTCTAATGACTTCTTCAACACAACAATCAGAAACTGTTGCGAATACGCCAGTAGGGGATTCATCTTCTGATGTTCAGATGGCAAATTTAGAAGAAAATCAAATTAATGACATTGATGAAGAATCAATTGTCAACGACAATAAAGCCGGTAAACGAAAACGATCAACAAAAAAGTCATTAGAACCAACAGAAAATATACCCAATGGACGTCCAAAACGTACATTATCGAAACGTAAATAAATTTAATTGAGTAAATAAAAAATGAATAATAAAAAAAAATAATTTTAGGTGAAGAAATACCAACAAATATGGTTAATGGTACAACGAAAACAAATAAAGGTAGAATTGAACAAACAAGTGCTGAAGTCGATGATGAACAAGAACGTGATAAACTAATTCCAATACTTTATGATGTTGCTGATGTTGTTTGGGTTAAAATGGGTGGACATCCTTGGTAAGATAATCATTTCAATAAAAAAATCATCTCTATAAATCTTATCTACAGGTGGCCAAGTCTTGTTATTCGAGATCCAAATGATTTAAGTGGATGTTATACAAAAATTTCTGGTATCTATTAATAATAAATTCTCAGAAAAGAAAATATTTTATGCTTGGATTTTTTTTTGTGTTAGGTAATGCACGAGCAAAACGCATGTATTTTGTTGTATTCTATGGTTCAACTGCTGATTTTGCTTGGGTATCTGATGCAGCAATAATATCATACAAAGGTGTTGAAGCATTTACTAAATATGCTCAAGAAACTGTTGATAAAGTATGTAATTAAAATGAAATAAGAATAAGAAAATATTTTGAATTTTTTTAGGCACAAACAAAATCTCAAAAAGAACAATTAACTGAACGTTTTCAATTAAAAGTTACAATTGGTCGACGTGAAGATTGGGAAATGGCTGTTCGTGAAGCGGATGAAGCAATTAAACAAACTAATGAAAAACGTCTTGAAGAAATTGAACCTAAAATTCATTTCTATACGAAAAGACGCGGTAAGAAAATTTTTTTTTTTTAATTTAATTTAATTTAATTTATTTTTTATTTTTTTCAAGCTACTCCAAAAGGTCAACCTGGTCGTCGTCCAAAAACATCTGCTACAAAACCCGAAGAATCTATTGAAACATCAACATTAGATACAAATAATCGTTCATTACTTGCTGAAAAAACATTTGAATTTAAATCGGAAGATGAAGATTCATCAACTGATTCACCTATACGCAAAAATACATCAGTTAAAATAAAACTTAGTAAACAAACATCAAATGATTCCGATTCAAATCCAACACCACCAAGCAAAAATCGTTATACACCAAAAGTAACATTAACTGATGAGAAAATAAATTCTACTCCAATAACAACAACAACACCAACAACAACTATTTTTGGACAAACAGCAAATGGTTCATCAGTTTCATATGAACCACGAGTACCAATAAATAATAATGTTGATACAACACCAGTTAAAACAAATACAACTAAAATGGTTAATGGTACAAGTAGTGGACGAAAACGTGGACGACCACGTCTTAAACAACCATCAATATCATCAAGTAATGAAGATACTCCTCTTGTACCAGAATTTAATTCTGCTAGTCCATCAGTTACAACGAAATTTACAACACAACGTAAACCAATTATAAAACCACAAGCATTTATGAATTCATCAACAAATAATATTCTTAGTGGACAACATGATATACGAACTGGATTTTTATCGCCATTTGAAGAACAAGAAGTACTTGATGCACTTGAACAATTAGGTGCAACAAAAACATTTGAAGAAGCAGAACAAAAAGCTAAACGTCGATTTGAACATATACTTTGTTTAAATCTTAATCGAACACATGTTGATATACCACAAGAATGTAAGTCCTTGGTTTTATTCTTATGAAGGGATTATTCGAGTATTTTAGGTAGGATTTGTTTGAGACTAGAAAGATTCTTCTACATACACTATCCTTCTTAGAGAAGTACACGGAGAATAGTCCTACCTAATATGATTGTAATCTCAGATGGTTTCCTTATTGAAAAAATCATTTTTGAATTGAAATTTTTTTTCAGGGTTTTATACATTTTTGTTTACTCATCCATCATTAATTATAAAAAATCCTCAATGGTTTACAGAAAAAAATAATATGGATACATTAAATGATAATGATTTAATTAATGATGTTCAATCATCTAGTAGTTTAGCAGTTCTTAAACATCAATTAGTTGTTTTATCGAAATTATATCGTAATGAATTACAAGCTCGTCAATCCGCACCAGTTAAAAAACGACGATCAACTGCTGGTAGTGTTGGAAAACAAAAATCAATTGAAAAAAAACAAGATTTAGATGATAAATTAAATGATATGCAAAATAAAGAACAACAACAACAAGAAGAAGAACTTATTGATTAATACATATATATATAAATAGAGAGAGATAAACAATATTTTTGCTTTTCTTATCTAAATGTACATTGCGGTTCTTTTTCTATTCAATTGTTTTCTCGTAGAAATAAAATAAAATAAACTATATACATATATATATGTGTGGTGAGTTGAACTCATTCGCAATATTTGATAGAAAGAAAAAAATAGATGTATGTGTGTATCTTTTTCTTCTAAATTTCATTATTTTCTTGTATTTGTTCACTTTATTGTTGTTGTGTTGTTATTATTGTTCTTGCTGTTTTGGTTTCATTCGAAGCAAACAATAAATATCCCTTTTTTTTCGTAGATTCAGAAAAAAAGCATAGATTCAGTTGTTTTCTTACAATGGAGGTATGTGTATTGTTGAGCGAAAAAGTGGCACATGTTCGGGTCAAATGAAAGCTCTCAACGCCAAACTAACAAGGTTAAAATATTAGCGGCAGTTGGCTTGCCTAGAGGGAGATATTTAACTTTTAATTGTAGGTGTAAAAATGAATCAGGAAAGGTTTTCTCCACTATTATAAGGATAAAACATAGTGTTGTTCGGGGCGATTAGGGGGTTTGTAGGGACTCTCTTTCATATGGCCCGAACAACACTATGTTCTGTCCTTACAATAGTAGAGTGAATTTTTCCTGTAGGTCATGGAAACGGTATTTTCTATCAATCACTAGAAAAATTCACTCCGCTANAGTCGTATTGAAGCATTTTTCATGGGTTTTGAATGATTCTCTTATATTATGGCTATAGTTATAGTAGTAGTCGGGAAAATTTATTCTATTTCTCCTCTCATATAGTACAGTTAAAAACACGACTTATCAGCTTTCGAATCGAAACTTTTTTTTCGCCCGTTTTTTTTGTCAAAATGGTACAATAAAGTTGCAATTCACTCATATATATACATCTATAGATTCAATGACTTACTCTCCACTTGATTTTGGTTCAACAAGTTCAGCAAGTTGTTTTTTCTTTGATTGATCACGTATTAAACAATCTTTAAACGAGAAAAATATTTTTTTTTTAGAAAATTAAATAATTATCAATATTTTTTATACCAGTTTGAAAATTAAAACTATATTTTGTATTTGGTTCTCCTTTGACTAATGCATATGGTGTTTCAAGTGCTTCTGCTGGATAATCAAGAAATTCCACACTAACGAATACTTTTTCACAATTATCATCATCAAATACAGAACATCTATTATTGAGTACAAGATCATGTACACCGATTGTTACAATATCATCTCCTTTTTTAGGATTTCTTGAAATTGAAGTTTGATAAACAATATCTGGCTCAGAATCATCCACATAAGGTGTTGCTGCAACTGATGGATTGACTACTTCATCAGATGATACTAAAAATAAAATAAATACAAATAAAATTATTTGCTTCTCAAATCGAAATCATTGCGTCAGTTTTCTGGACTATCCGACAGTGGAAAGTCTAATGTCCAGATGTAAATTCAACATGATTCTATCATAGGTTATCGGATTATCGAGAATATCCCATTGGATTAAAGTTTAAGATTCTTCATTCTGGAACTTTTCTCTATTTATATTTTTTTGATCACGCAACCCAGAATTCCCTGACAACCTTCATTCTGTATATTTAATTTTTCTGTTTCAAAGAGCATCACAGTAACCAAGATATGACAGAGAACCTTCATAATTAGAAAATCGTTTTTTTTTTTTGAGATATTGAACTTTTCTTCTCTGAAAAAAAAGACCTAGTCATGCCCTGCACCTTGACCTGCTCTTTCAAACAAAACTTAGCTATATAGAATAAAGACCTACAGAGAAATCTGAGTTGCCAAAAGAGCTATTTTTGACCCTTGCTTATTGAATATCTTCCAGAACACGTCAAGGGTATAGCGTTGAAAATTTTATCAAAGCCACTTCACAACTCCAACAAATCCTGACGTTTGAAAGTTCTTGGTCCAAGACTCATTTTTAAGGGATGACCTTTAATGAATATTTTTTTTTAATTTACCAGGTGACACTGTACGACTTGTTTCGCTAGTAGCTGGATGATCCTAAAATATACAAAAAGAAATAAGATTTAAAAATTTGATTCTAAATTAACAAACCCCATTTTGAATTTGAGTTGATGTACCATCATCTCGATTATCAAAACTAACTGAAATTAAAAATTAACAAAAAAAAAAACTTCATTCGAATGATATTATTGCAAATTTAATAACCTCGTTTGCTCTGTAAACTTGCATTTGATGATGTTCGTTGAGGATAATTTTGATGCCCATTACGTACTGGTTGTGATGAACTAGATGATGGTAAACCAGAACTATTTCTTGGTAAACCTAAAATAACAAAAGAGAAGGAGAATAAAGAAAACTTTTTGTTTCGTTGCTACTTCTATGAAATTTACCTGGTCTTGGTCTTTGTTCACTATCCGACCCAAGTACATCTTGTGATTTTAATCTTACATTCATTTCTTTTTGTTTTTCAGCTATTGTTTTATGTCCAGATATACTTTCATTAGGTAATAAAGCTAAAGGTTCACGATGACTTGTAGGTATACTTTTTGAACGTTGAGCTGGTGTACGAGTTGATGATGATGGTGGTAAATATGAATATGTCCATTTAAGTGTAACATCCATTGTACCATTTTGTTCACCTTGATCAGTTTGCATATGAAATGTACCTCGAATTGGATTGTCATGTGAAAGTGGTATTAATGGAATATCAGCACGTGCAACATAACGATCATCTTTTTGATCACGATCATCAAAAACAAATATTGTTAATTGAGATTGTTTAAGATAACGATCAAGATCAGCATCCATTTGAACAGGATATTGTATACGATCATCAAAATTTGGATTATTTGATGATGGAATTGTTATTGTATCATGATCAGCAAAATCATAAAATTTATATATACAATAAAGATCAGGTTGATGATCTAGAAGAAAAAAAATTTTATTTTTTAAGAAAAGACAAAAAAAATCTTTTTTTTCTTGTTTTTCTACCTGATGTAGCTGCTGTAACATTTGCACAATTAAGAATAGCTATTGTTAATTCATTCATATTTGGATCCATTTCACGTTGTTGTTCAATATCATCAGATGTTTTTGTTGATTGACGACTTGTTGTAACAAGATAACCTTGAGCTTTCATTTTTTCTTTTAATAAACGGAATGCTTGTTCCATAGGTACACGCAAACGAACCCAATATTCAACAGCCCCAAATGTACCAATATCAATATTATTTTGATGAGATGCTATTAATTTAGCTGTACCATGTAGTCGACCTTGAGTACCTAAATAGAATTAAAATGAATGTTTCTTTTTTTTTTTTATCATTATTTTCTATCTTTTAGATTTACCTTCAATAAGTTGTTTTAAACTAAGTTTACATGTAGCAATTGTTTGAAATGATTGTCCAACTGTTTGATGAAGTTCAATAAGTGTATATTCTTTTTGTAAATAATACAAAAGAAAATCATCAACATTAACAATATATTGTGCAGTAAAATTATATTCTGGTGTTCGACCCTTTACAATAGGTGTCATTTGTAATTCATGTTCAAAAAATTCTATTGAACAGAATGTTGATGGTTCATTGTTTTTACCGAAAAATTCAAGTGCACGTTCATTAAATGATGCACGACTTATATGAACTTCGATTAAATTTTGACCACGTTCAAGTTCGATAGCTTCTTCAATTAAGTCATTAGTTAGATTGTTATCAACAATTTGTTGTTCTTGAACACGATATTGACGTGTACCATAAGCAACATCTTTTAAGGCTCTAATTAAAAAAAAGAAAGATTTAGAATCTTTTTAATATTTCAAATGATTTTCTTGTTTGAAATCAAGTTGCGAACTGTTCGAAAAATACACAAACTCCTATAAAGTGATTGGATAGACAACAAAGACCTTGTTTTATAAAACGTAGAAGTCAAATAGAAAATTGGCCTTATTATGATTGAAGCTATTCTAAATGATAACTTGTACAATTTCAAAAATAATTTCTTTCGCATGAAATCAGGGAAAATGGTACAAGTTCGAAAGTTATAACATCAAAAGACTTGGTCGTAATATTAAACATCTGTATAGTAGAGCCAGTCAGATCCAACATTTTCGAACCTGGTCGAAGCGTACTTTGATAATCTCAATGAAAATTATCTAATCGACATTAGAGAGTCATCCGAAGATACGAGATACTTCTCCCGATTTTTGTATTCAGTGACTGGTAGACCCTACACATGAGTCAGGCGACTAGAGCCAGTCGGGTACGAAATTTTCGAATTCAGACCTGACGGAGTCTACTGCATGCTATATTCTTCATAGATTTACTAAGAAACCATAGAAGACTTGAGATCTTCTGCTTCGGAGGAAATTTTACTAAAAAACAGACTAAACATCCCGTGAAACATATATAACGAATAGTTTGTAGGCTATTTATTGACTTTAACATTCTTACTCGTCAGTAAAGATGATCTGAGCAGATATTGTTTTAGTTCAATGGTCAGATTCTAAACTGCCGAAAGTCTATTAGATTTTTTTAAGGAAAAAATTCGTCAAACATTATGTAAAGAAATTATGTTTTTTTTTTTTTCTTGTAATATAATATAATAACGACTGTGCATCAATATACTGAAGTCAATAGTAGTCAACAGGAAGCCTATAATTAATTGTATTATAACCGAAAAACCTCCTGCAGTGGTGATAGCTGCTCATATTTTTGCAAAATATTTTTTTTCTCTTCTTATTAAATTTTCTATCCAATGGAAAAACATACTTTTCAAGTTGTCGAATACGATCAGCACGAATATCAAGTAATTGACCACTTTCAACTACACGTGATGAATACTCTGCATGATTTTCATCCATTTTTCTTTGAACACAATCAACCTAGAAAATTATAAATTAAATCTTGATTAAAGAAAAAAGAAATCGTTTTTTCTTTTTATACTTCAAGTTTATAATCTCGATTAATTTTATATTGCATAAATAATAAGTTTCGAGTTTTTTCTAATTCATTAGCTGTTTCAGCTAATTGACTTTCTAATTCAAGTACTCGTCGATTTAGATCTAAAATAAAAAAATATTTTTTTTGTTTTTGCTCTTTTTGTGATTCTTTACATTTTCTTACTTTGTGCTTTTTCATCATCAACTTTTTGTAGAAAGTCAAAATTTGGTTCTTGTCGTTGTTTACGTTGACGTAATATAATTAGTGCTTCTTCAATTTCTTTCATGTTTATATCACTTTCCTAATTAAATCAAATTTGATTTTATAAACGAAAAACAAAAATAATAAAGAATTAAATGAAATTACAAACTTTTTCAAAAAATCTCATTTTTTCTGCTAAATCATCATATTTTTCTTTCATTTCTAAATATTTCAAATGCATAGAACGATGTTCGTCATCAGTTCTTTTAGTTGAATCTTAAAATTAAAAAGAGAAACATTGAATTTATTTTTTTGTTATTATTATTAAAGATAAAATTCTACCTTTTTCTAATGTAAGCCGATCAAGTAAAGTTCCTCTTTCACCTAAATCTGCTTTAATTGTTGCTTCAAGTTGTGCTATTTGTAATTTTAATGCTCTTTCTTTTTCACGAAATTCTCGTTCACGATCACCATTAAATGCTGAACTAACTAATTTTGTATTTGCTTCTTTTAGTAATTCACATTCACGTCGAAAATCTTCTATTTGAGCATTGAGCTAAAATAAATTGATTTATCAAAATAAAAAAAAGACCATTCATTTATAAACGCCTAGATAATAAATAGTTATAATCGACTTTTTTACCAATATTTCATCAATATAATAATATAGTTTTTGAAAAATATTCTGATAGCGAGTGAAATTCTCTTGTAGCATATAGAAGTTAATGTTTACTTGTAGATGCATTTGTTTAAAAAAAAATCAGAGTGTATTGAAGGCGTCCTTAAATAACAAGTAAAATACTGGATTGTTTTTTTGCTATGTATTGATACTAGTGGAAATTTTCTATCGTTTTATATTTGAGAAGATTTTGATATATAATAATTTTCTGATCAATATTTCAAATATTGTTGAGGAAATTATATACCACAGTCGTCTGAACTATATCTCATCCCTTCTTAGTTAGCTTTTATAATTGTTATCAAAAGTTTACATGATTGGCAGAACAATAAATCCGATTGAGATCTGAACTAACATGTGAATAATTATTCTGAGAAGTTAAAAAATCAATAGATGATCAATCAAATATGATTGCTTTATGTGATGAGAATAGACAATCGTCTATGACATTGTATCCTATTGCTAGATGCAAAATATGCGCATCAAAATAAACTAAAGCATCCATTGTGAACATCTGAGGATTGCATCCTATTGCGAATATGAACATGTATAAAAAATTATTCATAGAAAGTAGCGGTGTAATCAGGAAAAAGTTATGGAAGAGAGTGGACTCAGTCTCTATGATCATGCCTACAAAGTAAAGATGTGCAGGGTTACTTATACCCTGTACGATAGGGTAGTGTACGAGTTAGAAAATTTTTCTCAGTCAGGGTACAGGGTACGAAAAAAGCTTATTCTGCACATTGTTACTGCTAGGGATGCAACAGTAACGATCATTCGCCGGTATGCCGTCACCGTTACCGGTCCAACTACGGTAACCGTACCTACGGTTATCGGTTCAAGCCGGTTTTCATGAAAGAAAGAGTTTTTTTAAAATAATGATTTTTTTTTATAAAGGTTGACGAAAGCATATCAGGGTCGGAGAATCCGAATCTGAAATCGGTTTTTCGAAATTTTGAATTCCATTTTCAGCATAAAATGTTTTCTTTAGAAAAACAATAATTTCTCAGTGAAAAAACTTTCTAGGAAAAGTACGACTTTGAGAAAGAGACCTTTTTGCTGGGAAATCGAACCTCGAAATTTCAAAAAACTAATTTCAGATTCGAATTCTTCGATCCCGATTTACTTTCGTCAACCTTTATAAAAAATCGTTATTTTCTTAAAAAACCCTTTCTTTCATGAAAA